AAAAAAAAAAAAAAATAGTTTTTATTTCAAAATAATTTGCCTTAAGTCATAAGCTTTCCTAGTTTATTTGAAATGTGACTTGATTCACAAAATATGAATTTGTGTTAATTTTTTCAAAGTAAATCTATATAAAGTAGGATATATTTCTGGTTGAGGTTGTTTATGTATTTATCAATGATTTATAAGACTTGTATAAAATTACTGTTGTTAAAAATTAACTCATTTATTTTGTAGCAGAGAGAATAGTGGTTGCCTCTGTGATGTGAAATATATAATAACAAAAGGTACTTTGAACAAATAGAATTAGAAGACAGTTTGGCCTCATAATATGGTAAAACATTTTTTTTTTAAAACTTTATTTTGCTTCATAGGAGATACAGCAAATGACCAAAGAATGGCAGCAGGAGGTAACAGTTCAGGAGCAGAAGGCACCCAACCTTTGGAGGTAAGCAAAACAAGCCAAGAGTCCTTATGACATGAACCTGAACACAGTCATCATGATTACAGATGCTGAGGATAAATGCTAACTTCTGCGCTTGCTCTGCAGACAGGTGCCTAGACATAAAGAACAGGGGGCCCACTGGGAGTCAGTGACTACCAGTGCAGGGAGTGACCCCAAGTACCAAACTTTTCTAGTACTGAAAATGGAAACTTTCTGTTAAGGAAAGAAGACTAGAGTCCTTCAATTAAAACACATAAGCTATTTTTAATTGAACGATTATTTTCTAATACATCTTTATACATAGTTTACCAACCTGTAGAGAAAGGTTTGAAAATAACCCATTCAGAACTAGATTGCACCACTATTTCCAACATCAGAGTACATTCCTTGATCGTGTCTTATAGAAAGACTAGGATATTTGTTCTGTTCCACATGAAAAAACTGTTTCTATTACCAAACGAGGGTACTTGGAAATGTCGTTAGGATACTTCTGGATACTATGCAGAAATATGCCAATGTTTAATCACTGTGTCTTTAAGATACAAGGAGAATTTAACTACTGGGATGGAAGGGAGATCCTGAATTTGGAAACTTTCTACAGGGTGACACACCTCTGCCTGCATCCTACCTATAGCATGAGAGTGTTGATGCATCCTGCTGGAGCCAGGATAGGGACCCAGCCAGCTTGGCTCACCACGGTCCAGCGTAGGCAGCTAAAAAGATGGTTAAATGAATAAATTAGTACAAATGTGAGTTATAAGTAGAGAGTAGTATTTATTTTAGAAGAGAAATTTTTATTTTTTGTATTTATATTTTTCACAGTGAACACATACTTTACAATCAAGTAAAAAACTTATTTAAATAACAGATACAAGGACAGAGAAAAACATCCAGCTTGTATATTACAGCAACTTGATCTCTTTTGTTTATTCAGGCATTTAGTGAGTGCTGACCACAAGTAGTCTCTCTGATGGGAAGTAAAGGTTGTTGGATCTGGGAAATAACCAGCAGGATGGTTTAGAAATCATCATGACTACCTGAGTTTAATTGCTTAGTATCTTGCTTTATTTAGGTTGCTTTAATGAAATGCCATAAACTGGTATTTTGTAAACAATATAAATTTATTTCTCTAGTTCTAGAGGCTGGAAAGCCAAGATCAAGAGGCTGGCAGATTTTATGTCTGGTGGGGGGCCGGCATTTTGGTTCATAGAAGGTGCCTTCTCTCCGTGTCCTTGAAAAATTAAAGGAGAATTCCAATCTCTTCAGCCCCTTATAAGAGTACTAATCCCATTAATGAGGGCTCCACCCTCATGACCAAATCACCTTTCACCTCCTAATATCTAATACCTTGGGGAATAGGTTTCAACATGTGAATTTGGGGGGAACACACATTCAGACCACAGCATTTAGTTCTGTGATTCATTGGAAATGTCTGTGGAACTTGATTAGCTTTCAAAGTTGATTCATTGATAGAAAGAATTCCAGGATTAATTCTTAAGGAAAGAAGCTTTTAAGATTATGATCTCCAGAGATTTGAAAATAGCTCAGTACCAGTCCATGGCCTGTTAAGAACTGGTCTGCCAGCAGGAGGTGAGCAGCCAGCTAGTGAGCAAAGCTTCATCTGTATTTACAGCTACTCTCCATCACTCTCATTGCTGCCTGAGCTCCGCCTCCTGTCAGATCAGCAGCAGCATTAGCTTCTAATAGGAGAGCAAACCCTATTGAGAACTGCCCATGGGAGGTATCTAGGTTGTGGCTCCTTATGAGAATCTAATGCCTGATGATCTGAGGTGGAGGTGAGCCAGTGATGCTGGCACTGGAGAGTGGCTGCAAATACAGATGAACATGAGTAGTGACGTTTGACTGCACAGAGACCACCATAAATCAATTGCTTACAGACTCCTATCAAAACTCTATCAGTGAGTGGCCAGTGAGTTGATGTACTTCAATTGTGCAACTGCATCTGGTGGCAGGCTTTAAATCAGAATCCCACACTTATTTTAGTCTGTGTGTGGCCCGCCCATTATTTTATTTACTACTTCTGTCCGCACCTCTGTTTTTTTTAATGGTAAGTTGTATAATTATTTCATTATATATTGCAATGTAATAATAATAGAAATAAAGTGCACAATAAATGTTATGTACTTGAATCATTTAAACCCCCCCCCATCTGTGCGTCTGTGGAAAAATTGTCTTCCATAAAGGCGGTCCCTGGTCCCTGATGCCAAAAAGGTTGAGGACTGCTGTGATAACAGATATGTCAAAAGGCCCTTCTATCCTAGCAGCTTCTGGGCAGTGGGAAGATGATGTTTGCTATCAGAACTCACTGTTATAGAAAAAGAAGCAGGGAGACTGTAAGTGAGACCACAGGGTTCAATCACAGTGCAAGAGGATAATACTGCAATCCTTTTAGAGGCCATATATATCTTGCCACAGAAAAGCCAAATGACCATTTACCTCAACAGTAAGCATCTAAAATGAAGCTCATGATTCTTCTTCTTTAAAAATCCCAAAATAAACACATTGTTGCACACTCCTCACTCCCCATACTCTGCCTTGATGTAGCAAAGATGAGTCTTACTCTGTCTCACAGATTTAAGTTCCATATAGAGGCTGACGGCTCCTCAAAAGTACCCAAGTCCTAGACTTTCCATCCAGCGGCCTACCTGACATTTCACTTGCAAATTTCTAGATAGTTCAGCATTTGCTTGACCATGGAAGACTCCTCGATTCCTGCCCCCACCCCCACCCCGAAGCTTCTCTCTGCCTAAGTTTCTAAACATTTCAGCCTTTACTTATCTATGGAAGAACCTTTGATTCCTGGCCCTCCCACCCTGAAGCTTCTCTCTGCTTAAGTCTAGACAGTTCAGCATTTACTTGACTGGGGAAGAACTATCAATTCCTGACCCCCAATCCCCCGCCCCACCCTCAAGCTTCTCTCTGCTGAAGTAAGTAGACAGTTCAGCCTTTATTTGACCACGGAAGACCCACTTATTGCCACTACACTCCATAGAGCGGTTGAGGGTCAAAACCCAGAGGTGTCCCTCGCTTCTCTCTTACCCTTGTGCTCCGCATTCAGTTGGCAAGTCCTGTCATGCTATCCTCTGCATCTGGAATTCAACTCTTTCTCAGCATCATTACTGTCAGAACAGCCTATGCCACCAATTTGACCAGGCCTCCATTTTTCCCCCTTAAGCCTGTTCTCCACATGGCAGACAGAAATATGTCAGATCACCTCACTCGCTGGCTTAAAACCTGACTTCCATGGTATCTAGAGTAACTGCTTAGTCCCTCATAGTGGGCTGCAGGGAGCTCCATCTGTCTCCAGTCTTGTGTCTCTCCACACCCAACCCCTTTTTAAACCCAGAGCTTCACTTGGCTCCCTCCATCAAGTGTCACTTTTCATGACTTCTTTAGCTAATGTGTCCCTCCCCGCAGTCACTATCATAGAACCCTGTTTTATTTTCTCCATCACATTAATCACTGTCTCAGATTATTCATTTGTTTATTATGTGCCTCCCCTGACTAGAATGAAAACAGATATTGTACCAGGGGGGAGGGGTACCAAAAAAAAACCCAGAATTATTTTTTGGAGGGCAGATCCCTTAGAGTACAAGGCTTCCCTGCTGGGTAAGTGTTCTAGGAGCCTCAGTATCAGTGTAACAGCCAGTGTTGTTGGGAGAGGCTGCGTTTAGCTTCAGTGAAGTTCTTACTGGACATGCTTTCAACACATTTGCCCATTTCATGATTGGTAACTTACAAGTGCACCTGCCCACACCACACTGAGTGAATGTTTAGCAGGTTTGGACCAAAAAAACAGCATGATCCGTGTGCCCCATCCTATTCACCTGATCTCACCCTAGGTGACTTTTTTTTTTATTTCCCTGGATGAAAACTCAAAGGGAACCATTTTGCTGATGTGGAAGAGGTGAAACAAAAAATGGCAGAAGTACTAAAAAGCATTGAAGTTGATGATTTCAAAACTGTTTTGAGCAGTGGAAAATGAGTCTCCACAGATGTATTACATCAAATGGAAAGTACTTTGAAAGTGACTGAATTTGAAACATATAATAATAAATATATAATTTTTTATGAATAGATTCTGGGATTTTTGGGTCCCCCTCATATTCCTAGAATAGTTTCTGGTGCATAGAAGGTGCTTAATAAATACTGTTAATGGATAATCTAGATTGCATGTAATGTCATCATCCATCTGCCAGACTAAAGACCTAAATGTGGTTTTGACTCATTCTTCCTACCCCCTCATCAAATCTATTATCAAATGCTATTGATTTTGCCTACCAAATGTCTTCCTAATCTGGTTTCTCCTATCCCACCTAGGTCCTCATCTTTTCACTAGACTATTAGACAAAAAGTTTCTTTTCCAAATCTCTTTATAAAAAAAGACAAGTTTTATTACTTTCATGTCCCCCAAACATCTTGAAGCCTGCAGAATAAAGCTTAAACCTCAAGCCCTGTTCAAATGTCACCTCCTTTGTGAACCCTTTTCTCTGCATCCCTAGTGTCCTCTTAATACTTATGTTGTTTTTTGGTCTCTTATGACTTCACTGTAGTCAAGTTCCCACAAGGCAGGGATTATACCTTGATTAATTTTATGACCTCAGCACTGACATACTGTTAAAAACCTGTGGTGTGGCGTAAATGCCTTGTCAGTGATTTCTGGAGAGATAAATGAATAAATGATCATCTTAGATCATTAAATTATGTTTTTCACTTTACATTATAAACACACAAATGTATTTTTTTCTTACTGTAATATTTTTCTTACATTTTTCTGAAATTATTATTGTTATTATTATTATTATTATTATTATTAAGTCAGGGGTCTCATTCTGTCACCCAGGCTGGAGTGCAGTGGCACACTCACGGCCACCCTAGCTTCGACCTGCTGGGCTGCGGTGATCCTTCTGCCTCAGCCTTCCAAGTAGCCAAAACTACAGGTGCATGCTACCATACCTGGCTTTTTTTTTTTTTTGTAAT